TGGTCCAGGCCCCAACAGAACCCAATGTATACAAAACAAATCCTTCCATATAATTGGGCTGAAATGAATGACTTTTTTATTCTTATTTTGCAGAGATACCAACAGGGTGTGACAGAGGCATTGCAAAACTCAACCTTATTTGAAGACCATCAGGACAGTAAAAACCAAGTGAAAATCAAAACAAGGGCTTACATGCGGCGGGTGTCACAGAACACCATTGCTGACTGGGTCTTTGGTGGCCAGTTTGTCAACACCATAGTGTGTGAAGACTGCAACCATACCTCACAGAAAATTGAGCCCTTCCTGGACATTTCCTTGCCCATTTATGATGAAAAGGTATACATTGCAAATACCAAAAAGAAGAAAGGCACACAAAATTGATGTTAACTCTTCAAACATTTTTCTTTTTAAAAAGGGGGGATATATAATGATCACTGAGACATAAACATATATCTTATGACAGTTGGAGATGCAAGTTTATTTTGCAAATTTACATCCATTAACCCATGCATGAATGCATTTTCACCTGAAAAAGTGGTGTTTTCCCAGGTACTTCGCCATTGGGGAGACCAGGACTGTGACTTGGACACTGACTCAGTCAACACTTGCTTTCCATCATCATCATCAGGCAGGAAAAAGAGGGACAACAATAAGGTTGCCAAAGGCAGAGGTGCTACTGGGATCACAAGACCAAAGAGTATCAGCCTCAAAGAGACTCATTCCAACAATAAGAAGTTGAATTTGAGACGCAAATCAAAGAGCCTTTGCTCACCTGACAATAGCTCTTTGAGCTTCATGGCTGACATCCTGATGGAGGAGTCTATGATGATGACAGATGCTTCTTCTGAGAAGGGCTTCAACAATAATGACTATGAGGATAATGAAGATGCTGTTTCCATGAACTCTGTGCACTCTGTGAGTCAACTCCTTTCAATGCCCCCACTCCCCAAAATTAGTTGGCAATGGGTAGTAATACTAATAAATATTTAGCATGCATCAAATAAAAGTGTCAGAAAGGTAAAAATGGCCATCAGGCATCAGATTGAGTTTATGATACTTGCACACCCATTGCAATTTTTTCTTTCAAGGAAGAGGTCAAATAAGTCATTGAACAAAAGGGAGTTGAAGATCACTGGTGCTTTCTTTTAAAGTTTCTAACTTTTTGAAGCTTATTATAGGTGCTTACTATACTTAAATCACTTATTGGATATATTTAACTATGTGCAACAAAAGGTACTTTCCTGTTATCTCAGCACCTACTTTCCTGATATCTGTGTACCTTCCCTCTGACCAATTTAACCTGACCTACCCTAACTTCACCTAACCGCCTCCCAAAATCAGTTTCTGCTTTCTTTGGGTTTCTGCTGAAACTGATTTTGGGATGTGGTTAGGTAAAGTTAGGCTAGGTCAGGATATGTTAGTT